AACACTTAACAGTCCACTTTCCCAGGAAGAAAACCAGGATTGCAAGTTTTCACTTTCTCTAAGTTAACTTTTAACCTTCTGTTGTTGTGTGCCATCAAGTCGGAACCAATCCATAGCTGACCCTCCGGTGAGTTTTCAGAGGCAATAAATCACACAGGAGATATTGCCTAGCCTTCTCACACAGAGCAGTTGGTAGATTTGAACTGCATGCCTTTGGGATTATAGCATAGCTTCTTGCCACTAGGCCAACAATGCTCCTTTCTAGGGTTGTATAAAAATCAACGTTCAAACTCAGGAGAATCAGGTGATTCTCAAGGAGGCATCCAGAAATTACCTCGGTCATCACTCTGCCCATGAATAGCTAGTCTTCCTCCTGACAAGCATGTGCACTGACCATTTTACAGGGCATGAAGGGCAGGGGTCATGGGGCAGGGAACCTGTGGAAATTGTCAGGGGCCAGTGAATGCTGAAAAGCTACTTTGGAAAATATATAACTTTATTTTTCAGAGAAGGTTGTGGTAGTGCCCAAGTGATATAAACGATCAGACACTCAACTATTAAGGGAAAGGCTAGCAGTTCGATCCTGCCCAGAGGTGCTGTGAGAACATGAAGGGTGAGAGACCTCCACGGACTTCCACACCCAGCAGCACATCAGCCCAAGGCTGAATCCATAAAGAGGTTGTCAGATACACCTTCTCTCACTGCCCTTTTCACCAACTCCCTGTCCTGGCAGGCTCTACTTCTCCACTGGCTTTGAAAAGTCATTGCAATGGCCATGGAGAACCCACAGACAACACTCACAGTTGTGGGTGTTATGAGTAGTTTAAGTATAATAAAACATTATAAGTTTACTGTGAAAACACATTATGAGTTACCATGAAAACATATTGTGAGTATACTGTGAAAATATGTTTTTACTGTGAAAATATATTGTAAATCTTCTGTTTGATGTAACCATGCCCCTACTTGCCTGTCAGCCCCCGACTGCCTCAACATGTGTAAACCCATTAGAGAAACTGATAACTTGTTACTGCCCATGAGTTATGAGCAGTTTAAGAAATTATCATAAGTTTGCTGTGAAAACATATTAAAAGTTTATATGTTTTATGAGTGCTTTGAGTGGTATAAATGAATAAGACTACAAAGGAATTATATGAGTTTATAACGTGAAGACATTCTAAGTTTACTGTGAAAACGTATATTAAGTTTGCTGTGAAAATATGAGTTTACTATAAAAATATATAAGTCTAAAAATTATAAATCTGCTGAGAAAATATAAAAGTAGGCTGTGAAATATATTGAAGTGTACTGAAACATTTTGAGGTAAACATGCCCAAACATCCCCCCCCCCACTTGCCTCAACATGTGTAAGCCCTAGATAAGGGAATGTAACTTGTTACTACCCATATTGCTAAGGGAACGTAACTTGTTGTTAAATATGATTGGTTAAACCATATTGTAATTCAACATGTCCCAGCATGCCCCACTTGCCTCACCATAATGTAACCCTAGAGCCCAAAGTATATAAATCCTGGGAGATTAGTAGACCTCTCTGTAATCAGCTGAAGAGGAAATGTGTTACATAACCCAAAGACTCTTTCCAGAGCTGAAGACCCAAAGGCTGCATTCATCCGAAGACCCTGAGCTGCAACATTGATCTGTGACAATCCAAAAGTCTCTTTTCTGAGCTGAAGACCAAAAGGTTCTTTTCAAAACTGAGTACTCTGGCTGCACTGGTGGCAGTGAGCTGCTGACCTTGGCCACATCAGTGGCTGTGAACTGTTGAACCAGCCAAGGACCCCGTACCAGTAGCTGTGAAAGACCAAGAAGGACACAAGTTAGGCTCCCAGGGGTGAGTGTTCCCCACTATACTATTAATTATGTTTGTTATAAATTTATGAATTGCAATGTAGATAAATTGCAAATGACTGCTATGAATCGATAAATTATAATTGGCTTTTTACAATATGCCTACAAGTAATTAATTAAGGCTCAAGGCTCCTGACAGTGGGGTTTATTAGGGAATTAAGAGGTTACAGTTCAGAGTCAGAAGACTCAACACACAGCTTCTTCTCCATCACAGCATGGTCGCCTCTTCTGGGGCCTCTTGCTCTTAGCCTACCTGCCACTTGCCTTTGTCTTGCTTAGGCAAACGTTACAAAGCTCTTCAGTTCCCTGACATGTAATCAGAAGCTCTTCCAACAAGTCCCTGCCCAAAGTCACTCAGCTTTCCTAAGCAGTGAGGCCCCCTACTTCTAACTATTTTGGGGGTGACAGCTATCCCATGGATCTTGGAGGTTTTCCAAAGGTCACACTGCTTCGACCTCTTCTCCTAGGAGTTAGCCAGGTCCTTTCCATCAGCTCTGGAATTTCAAGCTCTTTTTAAGTGCAAAGAAATAATAAAAGTGACCAACGCTAGAGTTTCCTATACCTTATTTGCAAGGCTTCCCCCCACTAGAGAGTCCAATCCCCATAGTGGTCTTCTACTGCCTCATTTGCATAGCCCCATCCAGTCATTTTGTGGAAGTTACAAGACCATTGCAGGAAGTCTCCTTATAAGGAAGTCTGAACCAATTCCTAGCTGACCCTCCACTGGTTTTCTAATACTGAAAATTTCATGGGAGAAGATTGCTCATCCTTCTCCTGAGGAACCTGGTGGACTCCGGCGCTGGACAGGCGTGGCTCCATGTGAGCAGCGCAGCTCCCTGTGGGCGTGTAGGACAGACCACACTCATAGCACTGTGTGTACCTGGAAGACAGGCCTGATGACCTGCTGGCACAGGCCCCACTCTTGGAAATCCCACAGAGGAGTTCAGCTGTGCACACGTGGAGTTGACACGAGTTGGGGGTCATGGACAACAACGAACAACAGCAACAACACTTCTAAACCGTGCGCCTTCACAGCCTGTTGGTAAACCCACCGACAGCATCTCTGAACAGTGATGAGTGAGCAGCTGCGTGCACTTAGGATATTTTTCTCTAGGTTCTTTGGTAGTGTTGTTTTGTTTGTTGCTGTTTTTTTAGGGGATGTGTATGTACCGTCAAATTAGATCTAACTGGTACAGGAGGAGATTGTCCCTCCTTCTCCAGCACATCATCTGGTGGATTTGAACCGCTCACCTCTGGGATTGCAGTGCAGCTTCTTGCCACCAAGCCACCAGAGCTCGCCTAGGTTGTTTTTCAAAGGCGAGCAGGGTTTTCATGATTCAGTGACTGGGATAATTGGGATGGGAGTGTCAGAGACAGTGCGATTGGCACAGGACAGAGTGGAGTTTAGGGCTGTTGTACATAGGGTCGCTATGAGTCGCAGGCGACTCGACGGCACATAACAACAACAACAACAACATGTGCTTGTTGGCCATCTGAACGTCTTCTTTGGTGAAGTGGATCTTTTTTTTTTGAGATTTTATTGTAAGTTTATAAAGAACTTGGATTTCCATTCATTCATTGTTACACATTTTCCTCCCTTCCCCCCACACCCCCAGTTCACTTTTTTCTCTGGAAAAAAAGTTCTTTCATTGTTATACAGTCCTCTCATCCCCCACCCCCACCAGGGACCACTTTACTATGCAGCTCTTATTCTGGACTCTTGTCATACAAATAATACCTAATCATATATCCTTTTATACAGTTCTCTCCCTTGTCTGTTTCAATGTCATGTACATTATTTAGAGCCTTTTTTCTTCATTTTCCCCAACCCCTCATTAGTCCTTTTTTTATAACAGTGGCATTATATAATATTTGTCTTTTTTGTGACTGAGATATTTAACTCACCATAATGTCACCCATAGTCACCCATTTTGTATAATATTTCATGAGTTCTTTGTTTTTCAGTGCTGCATAATATTCTCTTGTGTGGATATACCACAGCTTCTCCATTCATTTGTTGATGGTCACTTGAGTTGTTTCCAATTCTGCTATTGTGAACAAAGCAGCAATAAACATGGGTGTGCATATATCTGCTTGGGTGGCAGTTCTGGTTCCTTTAGGGCTGGGTCAAATGGTATTTCTATTTACAACTTTTTGAGAAAGAGTCATATAGTGGTTATACCATTTTATACTCCCACCAACAGTGAATAAAGGTTCCAATTCCTCCACAACCTCGCCAGCATTTGGTGTTTGCTGCGCTGTTGAATTTTGCTATTCTTACTGGAGATGATAGCTCATGATTGTTTTGGTGAAGTATGATCTTCACCATGAAGCATGGGTGAACAGAAACGGGGATGGCTCACCACAAGCCTCCAGACTCTGTAAGCCCTGACGGTGGCTGAGGACTTCCAGAGTCTGTGTGAGCTGGGCCTAAGGCGGGGCCAAGATGATGGTCACAGTGGATTCAGAGGACAGAACTTTGGAGGTGCGAGAGATCTCCCAGAGCTCTGGGAAGGCCGGCAAGATCTCACCCATCTTGCCTTCTCCCCTCCACACCCATCCTTTGCCTCTGCTCCTCTGTCTCCCTGTCGGCAAATGGCCCAGGGGCCAGCCCGCATTTCCTTAGTCCCCACAGCGCGTCTTCGCCCACCTCCCACTCCGGACCCCAGCATAAGGACCTGCAGCCAGCGGGAGGTTGATCCAGGCGCCCCACGCGGGATGGTAAACACCCGCCCCGGCTCCGCCCCCACCCCGGCTGCGCCTTGCCATTGGCTGCTGAGAAAACAGTCACTCCCATCGGGACCACGCCTCCTCCCCGCCCTATGGCCGCCTGAGACCACGCCTCCCACATATCATTCGCTTAAAGGAAGCATCTCCCTCCCCTTGTTCACTAAAGGCACCGCCTAAGCCCTGCCTCCTGCGCTCTATTGGCTACAGCGGCAGCCTCCTACGGGGAAGGGAGGGTGGGAGAGAGCTCAGGGGTGGGATGAATCCAAGATGGAAGGGCAGGCTGGCCAATAGCCGAGGACAGCTGCCTTAGCAACTGTCGCGCACCAATGGTGGAGAGCAACCGGGCTCCAGGCTGTCAACGCCGGCGGGGGAGGCGCGGGCACAGCCTGGTCCCGCTGCTCTGGCCGCTCCGCGTGGGCCGGGCATGGCGCGGGGCGCGGAACGCGGCACGATGAGCGCGCTGGGTAGCCCAGTGCGGGCCTACGACTTTCTGCTCAAGTTCCTGCTGGTGGGCGACAGCGACGTGGGCAAGGGTGAGATCCTGGCCAGCCTGCAGGACGGCGCTGCCGAGTCCCCATATGGCCACCCGGCAGGTGAGCAAGCCAGGGAGCAGAGGTGAGGGCGCTGGGCGCGAGGCCCAAAGCCAAGGGATTGGGGCTGGGGAGTGGAGTCAGGAGCCCAGGGACGAGGAGGCCGAAGGACTAGACTGAGGAACCACTGACCCTGAACCGGGGGCGCAGGACCAGGTACCTGCTGTCTGGGCCCCGGGACGAGGGCCCGGGGTGCGGAGCTGGGGACGAGCGGTAAGAGATCAATGGCTGGTGGAGAGGGACCAGGACACCGGGTTGGGAGCCTGGAGCGTGTGCAGGATTCGAGGTGCAGCGTCAGGAGCGCGGGCGAGGGACTGTGACGGGGCCACGGGGCCCGGGGCGCTAGGCCGGGAACACGGGCTTAGCTGGACTGTACGTTGCTGGATTGGCCGACCTGAGAACGATGGCGCTGTAGGGCATCGAGGACTGGGCAAGGACCGTAGGCGGGCCTGATGAGCTCGGGCTGTGCGCACCGCCTTTGGAGAAGCCGCTTGGCCTGTGCGCACCAGGGCGGGGAAATGGAGCAGCCAACAGAGCCCGCCGTGTCTTGAGGCCTGGCTGTAGTCGGGACCGAAGTCGTGGTGGGAGCATTTGGAGCTGAGTGTAGAGATGGCAGGCCCGCCTGTGGGTTGGGAGGGGCGCGAAGGAGGACTCTGGAGGAAGAGGGCCAAGTCATCTCCAGCATCCCCCCTGGTCTGAGGGCCTCCTCTCCTGGTGGACAGGCCTGGGAAAGGGAGGTGTCCAGGGGTCGGGAAAGGGCCCCCCTCTGAAAGCAGAGAGCTTGGGCAGCAAAGGGATGGGAGCTGGATGCCAGCTGTCTTACCCCAGCAGTGGTCTGGAGCGGTAGCCAGCAGAGGTGCCCAGAGCATGGACAGCAGCTGCATGAGGATCCTGTGAGCCCCCAGAAGGTGAGGAGTGAGAAAGAAGTGAGCAGTGCAGTCCAGAGAGACTGCAGAAGGGATGGTGAGGGCAGCCACCTCCCACCCTCCTTTACTTACCAGGGAAGAGTTAGCTTTGTGTGATAGCTTCCAGGCTACAAGTGCAGGAGGCGCTGTTCTCCTGGAGGTAGGAACCTCGGAGCCTGGTTCTCTTTCCATTCTCTGTGCATCCGGGGTTTGCAATTGATGCCTGAGTTCCCAGAGCCCAGGGAGTCAGAACTTATACAAACAGAGCCTTCCCAGTGTCAAGCCAACCCAACCAGAACCTGACACAGGTGAGGGAAACAGGCGGGAAGGGGGGCACCCAGGACAAAGATCTCAGAGCAGGAATCCATGCCTTTGGGTATTTGGGGGTGGAGACCTTTAAGATATGGATTTAGTGTTGTTAGGTGCCATTGAGTCAAATACAACCTCTCCCAACCATATGAACAACAGACCAGAAACCTATCCTATCTTTTGCCGTCCCCACACTTCCTGACACACTAGAGCCCCTTGTAGCGGTCACTATGTCAATCCATCTGGTTGAGGGTCTTCCTCTCCTTTGTGGGCCTTTTGTCTTTCCAAGCATGATGTCCCTTTCCAAGGAATAGCCTCTCCTGGTGACGTGTTCACGGTGTGTGAGACGGAGCTTTTCCATCTTTGCCTCCAAGAAGCACACTGGCTGCACCTTCTCCAAGACATACTTGTTCTTTTGGCAGCCTGTGAGATGTGCAGTACTCTTTCCTAACACCACAGTTGAAAGGCATCACTTCTTACTCATCATCCTTATTCATTGTCCAATTGTCAAATGCATAGCAAGTGATCAGAAAGGACTGAATCAAACACATGTCCTCAAACTGACATCATTACTCCTCAATACTCGGGAAAGATCCCTAACTGCAGACTTTCCCAGTGCAGTAAGTCTCCTGATTTCCTAACTTCTGGGACCCAGGGTGTTGATTATGGATCCAAGTGAGATGAAGTTGTTGACAGTTTTAGTCTTTTCTCCATCTATCATGATATTGCCTGTTAGTCCAGTGGTAAGAATTTTTGTTTTCTTGACATTGAGATGCAATCCATATTGAAGGCTGTATTCTTTGATCTTCTGCAACAAGTGTTTTAAGTCCTACTCATTTTCAGCAAACAAGGTTGTGTCATCTGCATAACATAGGTTATTGATGAGTCTTCCTTTTTTTTTAACATATGCACCTTTTCTTTTTTTAATGTTTTTTCCTTTATTTTTTTTATTATTATTTTGTGTGTGTGTGTGTCTGTGTACTGTCAGGTCAGATCTGACTGGTACAGGAGGAGATTGTCCCTCCTTTCCCGGCAGAGCATCTGGTGGATTCGAACCATGCTTCTCTGGGATTGCAGTGCAGCTTCTTGCCAGTAGGCCACCAGAGCTCCCCTGAGTCTTCCTTTTTTTAAATTTTTTTCTTCATAGAGAATAATTTGTTCAGGATACAGCTTGAATAGGTTTAGGGAGAGAATACAACCCCAAAACACTTCCCTTCTTAATGTTAAACCATGCAGTGTTCCCTTGCTCTGTGTAGGTATAGATTTCACATGAGCATAGTTAAGTGCTCTGGGATTTCCATTCTTCATGATGTTAAACATAACTTATTACGATCCACACACTCAAATGCCTTTGTGTAGTCAGTAAAGCATAAATAGACATTCTTCTTGTATTCTTTCTTTTCAGCCAGGATCCATCTGACATCAGCAATGATATTCTTAGAGCCATGGCCTCTTCTAAGTTCTGTTTGAACTTCTGACAGTTCCCTGTCTATGTACTCTTCTAGCTGTTTTTGAATGATCTGCAGCAGTGTTTTGTTTGCGTGCAATATTAATGATACTGTTCAGTAGTTTCCACATTCTGTTGGATCACCTTTCTTGAGAATGGAAACAAATATGGACTTCTTCCAATCTGTTAGCTTGATAGCTGTCCTCCAAATTTCCTGGTGTAAACTTATCGACACTAGTACAATTTCCAGAGTCAGTTCTGACATACATTTTGGCGTGGTTCCCCCCCCTTTTGTTGCCATCTTTTGTAGTAACTGTTTGCTCTCTTCATGGATGATATCCTTGATGTCATCCCACAACTTATCTGATCTTTGACCATCGGTGTTCAGTGCTTCAAACCTATTCTTAAGATGATTTGGGGCAAAACCTCACCCAGAGAGTAGACAGCAGGAGCTTGAGGGGACTAGATCCTGTAATATGGATTTAGGAGGGTCATAGTATGATGCAAATTGACCTGAGCAGTGAAGGACGGAGTGAATTGGGATGTGGTCCCTGACAGATGATCACACCTGAATAGGAAAGACGATGTGGGGATCCAAGAATTAGGATTTCACGTCAGCCTGAGGCTCCAGGAAAATAAGAGGACATCAGGTGTCTTACAGATGAACCTGGTGGTGCACTTCTCTGACCACCAGCAGGGGAGTGCTAAGGAACCCACTTCTCTGCACACTTGAAGCCACCACCAGCTGAAAGCCACTCTGCACAGTGTGTCCCTGTCTGCCTGTCTGGATGACTTGAGACACTGCAGAAAAGAACCAATTCCAGGGTTGTGCCTTTTGGCATCTCCCTCTACTGGACGAGCCCCTTAGGATTCAGAAAGACAGTATGCAAACTCAGAAGAAGTTGAATTAACTCTGATTTTAGAAAACTGACATGTTTCTATTTGAAACACTGTTGTTTGCTCCCAGCACTGACCCTTTGCCACTTTCCTTCCTCTCCCCTCCTGCCCCCCTGTGCTGCTGTTTGTGGGTTTGGAACACTCGCTGCGGACTGCACTGTCACTGTTCATCATGATGGTCCGTCTGGAGGAGTGCTGTGCTCACCAGTCCCGTCACACTCGCTACGCCTGGGAGTCTTTACTTTGCTGTGCCTCCTTATCTGCTGCCTCTTATCTTAAAAAGGGCTCGCATGTGCTGTGTCTCCTGAACTCTGTCATATTGGAGCATGTTTGCGGGCTGTCTTGCTCTTGGACTGTCTTGCCAGTATGAGATTCTCTGGTGCTAGAGTACTTCCCCAGCACTTTGTGATTCTCATTCCACAATGCAACCATCCCTCTGGACTGTCATGAAGTCTGAAGTCAGCCTGGAATTTCCCTTTTCTTCCTGAATTTCTGAAGACTCTTTTCTTTTGGTGTCGGATTTCATTAGCCTAACCCTAACCCAATCAGAGCTGAACATCTTTTGTAGACTGCCTGATACAGTTTGTTCAATAACTTATAGATTGTTTTTTCCCAGTTCAGCTTTTCACAGGTGTACAATTTTGACAGCAGTTACAATCATCATCTGGGTAATCTTACCCTTATTGTGATTTTTGCAGATATAGTTATATATATTTTAGAGACATTTAGTTTGCCATGTTTTTAAAGCATTTTTGTTATTTGTGTTACACTACTTTGAAGACACTAATTATACTACATTCCTATGGATGTTGTAAGAGTTACCACAAGTCTAGTGGCTTAAATCACAAATTCACCATCTTGCTGTTCTCAGAGTCAGAAGGCCACCTGGTTCCTCTAGGACCTGGCAGGGCTGCCTTCTTCTCTACAGGCTCCAGAAAGAACGTGTTTTTTGCCTCCTTCAGCTTTAGAGGCCTCTGCATCCCTCTGCTCTGAGACTCCCTGTACCCCTTGGCTCCCAGCCCCCCTGAACTCAGCTCCCAACCCCCCCTCTACCACTTACCTCCCACTGACTCTTCTCCTTCTTGTATCTCCTTTTAAGGACCATTGTAATTACACTGAGCTACTTTGATAATCTAGGATAATCTTCCTATTATAAAGCAAGTGGATTAGGAAAACTAAGCCCATAGCAGTCAAGTCAATTCTGGTCTGTAGCGACCCTGCAGGACAGAGAATTATGGTCTGCCATATCCTTCTTGCACATAGCAGCTGGTAGACTCAAATCACTGACCATCCCTCCGATAAACAGCTGAATGTCCAACCATCATGGCTTATTAAAACCAAACTCATTTCTGTTGAGTTGCTTCAGACTCATAATCACCCCATTAAATCAGTTCCATCTGAAGCCTTAATTCTCCTTTGCCATGGAACCTAACACAGCCACCAAA